AATAAACACATGTGGCTAGAGATGTTCTGTTTTATACAACTGTGAAATGTGGACCATCTTGTTTGGTTATGTCTGACAAGTCAAATCACAAGTTTATTTATTTAAACCAAGTAACACCATTTACTCTTACACCCGACTGTTAACCAGTGAAACATTCTGGATTTATACTTTATCCCTTTATATGTTTGTACCTTATGAACTGAATAGTGTTTTAAAGTAAAACTCTCTGATTTTGTCTTTTTAATCACTTACAGATGAACCTGCAAGTATTTTGTATAGTCTTTCCTCTGATGAATAATCTGATGTTTTGCCTATTTAAAGCTACCACGGGTAGTATTTGAAATTTCAAACTCTGCCACCCTCCAGTGGTAGTATGCTGTAATGACACTGTGGTAGACCACTTACCACTAGAGTCTGATCACCAGGGAAAAAATAAGTAATCTAACATATTCTTATGATGTAAAATATGGAGTACTTAAGTTAATATTAAATAAAAAAGTTAATTAATTATTTCATCAACTCTTTTCATCAAGACAGTTATATGAATGGCTGAATAATTTCTGATATTTTTTATCTAATATCAAACAATCTCCAATTGATAAATATCTCACATTTGTAAATAGGAATTTCAGTTATTGTTAATCAATTTGTTTTTTCAGCACATTATCACATGACTTCTCTTTCCTTTTAGCTGCCCAATGATTTATCAGTATTCTGCAGTGAGAGTGATATTTTTTTTATTCTTTAAGAGGATTTTCACTCTGTGCAGGGATTAAAATCTAGCTGCATGCTGTATTAAGGGTACACTTTTAAAATCACATGGAAACGGTACCATATTGGCAGATTTTCATATTCCTATTTCGTCTTTTATTTCAACTAAGTCATTTTCAGTTTGGTGTTCAGAATAAACTGAATCATGTGTCAAAACCTCTGCTGTACCTGTAGAAGGTGAGCATGCAGCCTGTGATGGACATGTTCATTGGCACCTGAGCAGACATCCGGCCAACGACAACCATCTTCTCCCCCGTGTCGGGGTGGAAGGCGGAGTCGTAGACGTACTTGGCTCTCCAGAGCTCATCCTCCGTCAGGCCAGGCTTCGCGCTCCCGGCTCTGAAAAAGTCAAAACAACCGAGTGGTGTAGATTTTTCCACATACTTTAAAGCAGCAGCAGCAGTATTAGAACATTTGCAACAAAAATGCTTTACCCACGTCCAAGATATGCCTTCTTACTTATATAGTATGTGAAATTTAATTATCTACTCAAAATATGATAAACTGATTTTAGATTGATGCTCCCCCATTAAGGAAAGGACATTTCTCCCATTGACACAGAACCAGCCTCATCATTACCTGGTCACATCAATTCTCATTTCTATTCATGCCTTTGCCTCCACCACAACCTCCCACAAAATGATCATTTACACTCCTCCTCCATCCTTTTATCTCCTGACCCTCTACCTGTAGTCCTCCACGATCACTCGGGCCTCCTCCAGAGTCTCAGCGGACAGCAGGACGTTCCTGGGATCGGTGACCATGAAGAAGTGCTTGGCGCGCCCCATAAATGTGCCTTGGTCCCATCTTGGCTCCTTGATGTTTATGTTGAGGGACAACTCTCCAGACATCCTGGCCTTCTTTAATTAGATGAGTGTTAATTAGTATTCACACTATGTTAGAAATCTATACTGGATTCACATTTGACACAGGCTTAAATTTAGGAATAAATGTTGTATCAGATGGATTAACAAACATAGAGGCCCAGTAAGGGTAAAAAAAAAAACATATTGTTGTCATACTTCACTTTGACAAACAAACACTGTACATGTTTTTAACAAAACTTTTTAAAGCCAAGGTTCTCAAATGTGTTATGTTGTCTAAAGAAAACGTCGTAAATGTGCTATGAAATAAAATATAATCTAAAAGTGTCAACGTTTTTTTTTTTTCTCCATATGATCAAATGACAAGGAAACAACACTACAAATCTCGCCACACATTTGATGGGAATGTTTCAATACTATTTATACATTTTTGAGGATGTGAAACAACGCTTGGCTGCACAGTTAAGCCTCCACCATCTCCAATAATATCTCTGCTGCAGTATGGAGCTGCACTGAGGTGAAGCCCCCTCCCCCCCATCACTGGACAACATACCACCTGGTACAACTACATGTAATTATCTCTGGGAAAATAACCTCAAACAGACAAGTCGACCAGATTCAGCTGTCACTGGCATGTTCTGCCTCTCAGTACATTTTGAAATATAAAAAGGAAACCGTTAGTTGTATCAAGTCAAATGCAAACCTGCTATACACCTATTGTCATCTTGTTAGATTGTGAGTTCCTGAAGCATGTACCACATTGAGGTTGATCTCAAACGTCTTGTATCAGATGTGGCTGTGAGTACAAGATAATAGAAACTACACTGAAAAACAAACTGCTTAAAATGTAGGTCAGCACTTTGTATCGGTTGAATACGACACGATTTACAGCTACAAGTAACAATGATTTCCACCATTGACTCATCTGTAGATTATTCACTTGATTTGTCTATAAAATATCAGAAAATTCAGGAAAATGCGCATTGTGACTTTACTAAAACCAACTGTGACTCCCTGAAATTGTTTTTTTTGTGTCTTTTAAACCCAAAGATACTCAATCTACTGTCACTTATGACAACGAGAAGCAGATATTCTTAATTTAATTAATTAATTAACCAATAATCAAAATAAGTGCCTCCTTGCTTATTTTCTGTTGATAAATCAATCGGTTATTAACTAATAGTTTCAGCTCTCTGCCCCTGTACATACAGTATTCAGTAAGTGCACAGGAGTTGGTACATACAAATACTAAACCATTAAAATACTTTATTATTTATGCAGCAGGTCTGAGTGTGTACTGAGGTGGTCCATGCAATGCCAAAGGAATAACAAGGTCAAAACCAACTCTGTTACTGCAAATAGATGGAAAAGAAAATAGCTCCAGGACGTACAAGGGCGACATAACCACTGATATGGTGGGTTCAAAGACCCAAACAAGTTCTGCCTGTTTACCTCCTTTTTAAATACACTTTAACCTGAGAGTCTACTGTAAGTGCTGAGAGAGCTGAGCTGAGATCTAGTGTGTCACGTTGTGAGCAGCAGCTGATCAGAGAAATATCGTGACACACACACACACACACACACACACACACACACACACACACACACACAAGATGGGATTGGGGAAGTCACGACACGCTGCCGGTTACTGTCAGCAAGCCGGCTAACCGCAGCTAACAAGCTAAAGATAAATACCATTTCAACTCACACACTCGGGAGTACAGAGCTACTCAAAAAGGACATTAAAACCAAATTAAATCCCCACAAACATCGAATATTACGCTAGACGGGACAAAAAAAAAATGGCTCTATCAAAACAAACCATTTCACTCTCTTGGTAAACTCACGTCAAGCTGCTAGCTAGCCAGGTAGTTTACAGGCTAACTAACATGCTAACGCTGTAGTTTAAGGGCACACATAGACACGGAGCAGACGTTAACGTACTCGGATTGTGATTTAAAGTGATTAAACATGTGAATTCAGTCGGCGCTGACACCTACCTGGTTTTCTTTCTCCGCTTTTTGAAAATGTATGACCTCTCAATATCACTGCCCCACTGGTAGACCTGTGCTGCCTTCACTTACGCGGGGAAGTGTCGTTAAACACAGCTTCGCCGCAAACAACGGCGAGGTAAATGACAGGTTCATGCGTGATTACGAGTCAAAAAGAAAAGCAGTTATTTAAAAAAATATTAAAACTCATTTAATTATTAAATTCGACCATACCACATAGTAAATTCGTGGTTGTAATAACATCACCCTGAGAAAATATGTGAGAAATCAGTAAGATTCACGATGTTCTCTCTACTCTGTTGAAGCATAGCTAATATTTGTCCGTTTCTGGTTCTGTATAAAACTAACTACCAAAAACCGTTGAATATCTGTGCTGTGACTTTCTTATCACACTTCATCAAATCAATCAAACACGGTTAAATCAGTCGCATAGTAGTTGGATACCGGAAAATCCGAGCTTCGCAGAGGTCTGTGAAAGCAGCACCGTGCTGGGGGCGGTGTTTGTCATGGAGGACGTGAGTCGCTGGAAACCTCGGGCGTGGGAGGTAGACATCACGTGATTGGTTAAAAGAAAAAAGGCTGACTAGGATGTGAGAGAAACAGAAAAGGGAATTTAGGAGTCTTGAATATAACAAAAAAAAAAACATGATTATGAATATGAATAATTATGTCTAACAAACTTTAGGACATCTAGATGAATAGACTTCACAGCATGCAGCTACTGCTATCCTCGATGCATCAATGATTTCAACATACATGAATTTAAACATATTGTATATGTAGGCCATGTGTTACGTTGTAAATGTGCTATGAAATAAGCTGTTTTAAATACATTTTTGTGATGATAGGGAGAAACCAGTAAAAAAGTTATGTGATTAAAAAAAGTTAAAGATGTTTCTGTTATTGTTGTTTTTGTTATGTTTACTTAAGGTTTTATTTATAGTATCTGCTTCAAGACATATATGATATGATATCTAATTCCTCACTATTTTTTTATGATGAATATTGATTTAGTTAATAAAGTTATTATAAAATCATAGATTATGTTCAGCTAAACAGTCTTTATAATTCCTGGGTGATGACCCTACTTCAAAATGAGATTTAAATGTCAACTTTAATCATATTTGGAGAAATAAGGTTATATTTCTTTTAAACAACATTTGCACGAATCAACCACACCAATAGATAAATAAAAATCACACATTCAAGGTCAAGGTCACCTGTTCCTGTTTAGCTATACACTGTATTGACTGCTATTAATATGAGACCATCAATTCCCTGGAGATTAAGTGTGATCAGCAGAGAGGCTGTGATGTAACACAGCTGACCACCGGGTGGGGTTGTTTAGCCATCTCACAGGCACGACGGGGGCAGTCAGGCAGATCGGCTTTTCCACAGGCGCCTCTCTGAAAGTTTGACAGACAAATATGGGCTTAATTAACACATTTATAATAACAAGGTTCACCCGAGGACAAAGAGGAGGAGGAGACTGACACGAGAGAAGACTTGAGTCAGTTTTACTGTAGTGCAATTAGTGTACTTAATCATCACTAGTCCATCGCTAATGGCTGCACAGCTGCAGGGGCTTATGTAAAAGGCTTAGACCTCCTAAGACAATAATGGTCACCTGGAGAACAAATGAGGTGGCACTAATACTCCGGATGTGTCCGATAATGCGTCAGGGAGACGGGCCAGTGAGAGGAGCTCGTCCGGCACATCATGGACTCGGGCAGGTAACGCTGTCACACTTTAGTTCACGTTAGTTTAAACGCAATGCCATCACGTTGCGATTGTTTCACAGGCGTGTTGTAACGTTTCACCTGTTCAAGGTTCGCAAGTTCAGACCGTGTTAAAGTCTAACGACACCGATCGGGACAATGTCAACAAGTAGTCCAGAAGTTCAGTTAGTTAACGTGAATAAATATATTGATAATAACAATTAAGAGATAATAAATTAGGCCAATCTGTTTATGTGTACTATCTCTTAATCGCTGTCCAAGGTGCTGATTGACAGAAAAACCCACTGGTGAAGTTCCCAATTAGTTATTTTTATTTTTATTTATATTTAAGTTTCCAGGTGAGAACTGTGTTAAAATAAGAGAGTTTTTTTTATTTTTATTCCACTTGCAACTTCTGAGCCCACATTACTCATCACTGCATATTCTCACAACAGATATCCATTTAATTAAACATGACCCGAGGGGAATCACCATGCACTGCTGACTTCTCTGCAGACAGGCCGGCAGCGTCTCAGCTTAAGCAGGGGGAAACAGGCACCGTGGGCTCTATGGAGATGGATTCAGGGACTGCAAACGAAACGAGTGGATTATACCAACTTCTTTAATCTACAAAGAAAAGTAGGAGTCCACAGTTCAATCATGGAGCGCTATTTTTTGCCATCTTTTTAAAAAAATGAGATATAGTTTGTTCATTCAACTGTGTTAACTTTGAGTTTTTCTATGTTACATTTTCTCACATGGATCTTGGATTCTTTTATTAGGCTTTATTTATGGCCTGAAACTGGTCTCAGTGAAGATCGGGGATTTTACCGACAGCTTTGTAAGTTTCTCCCGTGTTTTATCATCCACTCTGAACCAGCAGGTGCAAAAAACTCCAGGTTCTCACCACCTTTCCCCAAATCCCAGGCTGCACCTCTTCCATCCTGACAGCAGACCCCAGATATCCTCCTGTCTGGATGACTAAGGGAAGAGTAGCCAGAGACATAGCATGGCTCACTCCACTCTCCCCTCTGGCTGGAGGGAGATGACAAATGGAGGGGGGCACCCCCACTTCAACAATGGAGGCCAGACTGGGGGTTCCCACAGCACCACGCGCTACATGCTGAAGAAACAGCACCGCCACAGACGCAGGTCCTCCTCACCAATGGGCAGGGTCATTCTCATCAACACACCTTTTGATGGTGAGTCCGGCACATGAAGACAGTCCTCTGTTGCCATGGTAACACGCACAGTGCCAGGGGCAGCAGTCCCTCAGTCAGTTATAAGTCTAAGTTTGGATCAGAGTTTAGAGGTTATTTATTATTAATATCAGAAACATGTAGTGGTTCTGGTTCTTAAGATGGAAATATTTGCTGGCTGTCTTATTCTCCTATAATAGTAAACTGAATACCTTGTCGATCGGACCAAACAAACGATTCAAGGACGTCCCTTTTGGATCTGGAAACTACACATATACACATACATATAAAACAATTCATCAATTAACTGAGTTGGCAGATCGATAATGTAAATAATAAGTAAATACCACACAGGTATGAATATCTCAGTGACTCAGTGTTGAAAACCTTTCAAAAGCAAAGAAGGAACAATAAAATCATAATAATTTACAGGTGTTAAATATTAGTGCAACGTATTTGCAAACATATTGACGTTACAGTACTCTTCACCCCACAGTAATTGAGAAAATGGATCTGCAGATAACAATTTCTATTGTTCATCAAGAATTTCAAACCTTATTCTCTCGTGCCTCAGGCCTTGTCAATAATTGGCTGTGAGAATGTGCAGACCTTTATGGGTACATGACCGTGTGTTTTGTGTGTTTGCAGGAGGGGATGAGAGTGAAGACATTCACACACTGACAGTAGATAAGAGTCCAGATGGGCGTCTGGGTTTCAGTGTCCGTGGGGGCTCTGAACATGGACTCGGTGTATTTGTCAGCAAGGTGGAGGACGACAGCTCTGCAGGTTAGGAAGAAGTGTGTGTGTGTGTCTGTGTGTGTGTGTGTGCGTGTGTGTGTGTGTGTGTGTGTGTGTGTGTGTGTGTGTGTGTGTGTGTGTGTGTGTGTGTGTGTGTTTCTCACTGTGATTGCAAGCTTATTTGTCAGCGTGCTTACATCTGGTCATGTGGTTTCCATGTGACATTTTCTTTTGTGTATCATGCTGAGTTCCACCTGTGTCTGCAGAGCAGGCTGGGCTGACTGTGGGCGATAAGCTGATGGAGGTGAATGGGGTCAGCATGGAGAGCATCACCATGAGCAGCGCTGTGAAGGTCCTGACGGGCAACAACAGGCTGAGGATGGTGGTGAGACGAGTGGGCAAGATCCCCGGCATCCGCTACTCAAAGGAGAAGACCACATGGTGAGACTCAGAGTAGAGGTTGTGTCAATGTGAATGATATCATGTAATCTACAATTAAATATTTACACTACGTAGTTTATTCAACAACTGTACCAAACAGTTAGTGTGACTGTATACACTGTGCACACTACAACCTTGTTGATACCACCACTGACCTTTGCATGGCTCTTGTTTTGTGAAGTATTGTCACTTGACTGTAGCTCACACTTGTTATCTTTCTTTTGGGATATACTGTATCTTGGTTTCATGTGGCAGCAGTGGATGGATTACCGCTGTGACCTTTATGGCTATTTGATTAACCGATACTGACAGCGATCAGGAGAAAATGGAAAACTCTATTTGTGAATGTTTTCATGTGCGCATGTATGTCCTCTTTTGCATATGTGTGTGTGTGTGTGTGTGTGTGTGTGTAGGGTGGATCTGATTCACAGGCGGATGGTGGTGGAGGAGAGCGGCCGCACACCGTCAGAGTCCAGTTCAGACAGCGCTCTCCGCAGGATCGTACATCTCTTCACCACCTCAGATGACTACTGTCTGGGCTTCAACATCAGAGGAGGCAAAGAGTTCGGACTGGGAATTTATGTTTCTAAGTATGAACCAAGTGTTGTTAAACACTTGTTCAGCTTACGCTTGTTTTACACCTGAAGAGGCTGTCATCGTTAGAGGAAAAACATTTATTTTGGTGCTTTGTGTGCATGCGGTAGAGCCCAGGTTCAGCCCACCCTCTGGCGGGGTGTCCTTGAGCAAGAAAGAGGATAGTGGGGAGCAAATGAAAACATAATCTTTCCACAAGAAATAAACATCACATCGTACTCTCTTTTTGCATTAGATCAAAGCAACCAGGCTTCAGTTAGAAAGCTGTGGCAGTTTGTGTATTGCCATTACAACAGAAGTTGTTAAGAAGCTGCTTTAATGAGCTTGTACTGTGAGTAAGACAAACATTAACACAACATACACCACTAATTGTGAGTGAGATAAAAATACATCCAATAAATGTAAAATAAAGATTTCATAAATAAAGATCCAGTGTGTGACCTTTAGGAGGATCTACTTGCAGAAATGGAATCTAATATTCATAGGTATAGAGTTAGACTTAGACTTAGACTTCACTTTATTGATCCCTTTGGGATGACTCCCTCAAGGAAATTGAATTTCCAGCAGCTTACAAAACAGTTGTATAGAAAATAAAAGAGGTATAAAAAAATAGTAAAAAGATAAACGATAAACTCTTATCTAAATATAGAAAGTAAACAATAAACAGTAAACAATAAACTCTTAGCTACATATAGAAAGTAGAGATAAGAATAAAAGTAAAATAAATAAAATAAAATAAATGTAGAGAACTGTATAGAGGATAAATATAGATAAATATATAGGACTGTATATGGCATTGTGTTATTATACAGTGGATGAATGACAGCAGAAATTAGCAGTTAAATTAAATTATTGCACTATGTATGTTTTCATTAGTGTCACCTGAATATAGGATTATTTGTGTTTTTGTCTTAGAATTTGACGTTTTTTCCAAGAACATACAAACTGAACACTGGCTATAGATAGGTCCTTTTTATGAGTTTCATGGCGGCTATAGTTTCTCCTACTTACTTCACACTCTCACTCTTAAAAACAGATGCAAGCTGTGTTGAGTTAGCTGCAATCTGCAACTTCACTGCTAGATAAATCCTACACACCAATACTTAAAATGCAGAGTAGAAAATTAAATAAATACTTGATATAAGAAGTCAGGTATGATTTTAAACTTTTAAACAGCTCAGATTGAATAGACATCTATATCTCCTGTGTGTGTGTGTGTGTGTGTGTGTGTGTGTGTGTGTGTGTGTGTGTGTGTGTGTGTGTGTGTGTGTTTGTTTGTTTATGTCTGAATGCCATTACACATGTTCTCCTTAGGTTGGACCCTGGTGGGCTTGCAGAACAGCATGGCATCAAAATGGGCGATCAGATCCTTGCAGCCAACGGGGTCAGCTTTGATGACATCACACATAGCAATGCAGTCGAGGTCCTGAAGAGCCACACCCATGTCATGTTGACCATCAGGGTGAGAGACAAATTTAAAGCTGCCCCATTCAACAGGTTTTTTTTATATTAAAGGTGCTGGATACGACTTTCAGACTAGATGTCTGCAGCACCATCATCTCATACCAAAACAAATGAGTGAGCGCCACAGCCAACCAGACTCTTTTGACAAAAACATTAATTGTACCTCCCAGATCATAAAACACACTTAATTCAAACTTGACAGAAACAAAAAAAAAAGGTTTTTCTTTATTTCCACTATTCCAACAACAATTACAAACTCTGGTATGGCTGAAACAAACTCGTAATTCACGAAATTAGAAGAGAAAAAAGCTTCAAAACTGGCTGCTACAGGGGGCATTTAACGTTAGCTAATCCTTGGGGACAAATGCGCCAGTCAAAGTACATCCACTAAAAGTGCTTGTTTGCCACTCACAGGCTCAGATTGTTATTCTGTGTCTGACAACATTATGAAAAGGATCCATGCAGAGATCGACCTATCTAACCTAAAGAGTAAGATAATTTTTGTTTAACCAGAAACAGCATGTATACAGTTATCACTCACCACCAGATTTCATAGACAAAAACAAAAACTTAACCTAGCAGATAATCGTAAAACATACCTCAGTCAAATACCCCACTGTACATTGCCTGCTTAGCAACAAACAGAAGACAGACTAAGCTTATCTTTATCTGGTGGGAGAATTTAGCAGCTTTAGCAGTCAGATATTTCCCTCAGGAGTTTGTGGAGAACCAAACAGAGATAAAAAGAGAGTGCATACTGGTCATACGTTCATCTGGTGAACAGAAACACTCCAAACAAGTGCTGATGGTCCATGTCGGCTGGATGTGTAAATAAGCAACAATCTTCTCACTATATCAACTTCATAAGGTGATAATATATAATATTTTTGTTTTTTGTTTGTTTGTTTGTTTGTTTGTTTGTTGTGACAGATTGTTGTCCTTAAAGGCACACTATGCAAGATTTTTACCTTAATATAACAGCTTCAAAGTCATGTCGATGGTAAACGAACTTGTAGTATAGCGAATCATCCCGATAGCAAAGCTGGAGAGGGACACCGTTGGCAGAACCAGCAATGCAAGTCTGAAAGGTGGCGCCCCGCCAAATCTCGTGAGAATCACGAATTGCTTTACGGCGCGACGTCACATATATCAACAACATAAGAAGCAGCCTCTATGGAAGACACTAGCAGGCATTCACTCAGACGTTACCTGGTCAGTAGAGTCTTCAGTAGGCTTCCATCCTACTGAACATGTACCGGTATACAGGGGGGAGGGGATCAGGCCGTGAGTGCAGAGACGCAGAGTCGTATATAGAGATGGCTCTGGTGAGTGGTATTTACGAGTTTACGTTAAATACAAGTACTCCGCAGCGACTCTAGGGGTAGCTGTTTGACAAAACCGGAAAACTGCATAGTACGCCTTTAAGTGTCCAAAAAATCAGTTAATACAGGTCAAAGTATTATTTCAGAAATAATTTCCCCTTTGTCCTCTACACTGTGGTGCAGTATTGTATGGCAGGGTTAACCATTTGCTCAGGTTTACACATAACAATTGATTGGGTGCTTTAAGTGCTGTGACACAATAATAAATGTTACAGCGTGTTAAACAACACCAGCACTTCTCGGGAGGGAAGCACAGTCAGCTGGCGTACAGCCCTTGAATTCCTCGTGTGTCTGTGTGCACATGCATGTGTGCAAGACCGTGCCACTTAACCTGTGTAATTTTTAGATAAAGGAATTGTGTGTATGTTTGTGTGTATGAATGGGCATATGTGTGTTGTGCAGTGTGTTTGAGTGTGTGTTTGTGAGCTCACTCAGCTCGCTCAAACATTGCTGCGTGCTCATTTTACTCCTCTGATCTCAGGTTCCACGTGTGAAAAACAGCCAGGGACTACGTTCATTATTCAAAGGCAGTCAGGGATCAGGTTATAATCAACAGAAAGCCTAATTTTATGTCTTCCTTCTGTGCTGTATTAGACCCATTTGTGGTCACACATGGTGGAGCCAAGGTTAATTTAAGTTACTGAACACTTGGGCATCCAAGGCTTCTGTGGAAAATTGTAGATGTAACCTTGAGTGTCTTCTCATTGACTCTTAAGTAGTGTATTGTTGACACAATCCCTTAAAATAGACTTGAGTGGCTATTGGACACAAATTCTTGATGCAAAATGGCTCATTCCTTTAAAAACATTGCCTAGAGCAGTTGTGTCCAAACCTTTGTAAACCTCAGCACTCTTTCATATTGATTTCTTTCTTCATGGTACCCCTTTATACCCATTACAACCCACAACACGTGTACATGTACCCTTTTCAGCTATAATGACATCATGGATATTTGTTGTAAGGACTTATTTTAACAAACTAACAAAGTAATTCACATTGACATAACACATGCAATGTATATATACAGTATATGAAAGAACATGAATATTAAATCAAATAATAGAGGAAAAAAACAGTTTTAGGCTATGTTGCTGTGAAGAAGATAACCACCTGTAGGTGTCTGACCAATGATTGCTTGTCCCGTCGGCCATTACATTTTGTATAGACATTCATGGGGACCAGAGGATGAATCTTAATGACTTTGACGACCCCCTGATTTATTTGGTTTTCATTGATACAGACATTCACTCCCCTACGTCAAGGAAACAGAGATTCTACTTTATAAGCATCAAGTGTAGACGTGTGTGCAATTTGTAGTTTGTTTATTTTTTATATTCTAGCTGAATATTTCATGTTTTTGCACTTCAACAGGAAGCTGGGAGATATCCTGCATACAAGGAGATGGTAGCAGAATATGGATGGCTCGACAAACGTATGTTAACTATTCCAAAAGTGTGTTAATCACAGAATGCGATTTTACAAGATAGAGATAGTGTTTAGGTTTAGTTTTTAAAAGAAATTATGACTTGAACAGTGGAGTGAAAGGAATTGCCTTCACTAAATATTAGAGAACAAAGTAATGAACATGTGATCTAGTGACCTTTTCTTTTTCTTTCTCATTTTCATTTGCACAGCCACATGTTGGACTCAGAAATATATAAAAAAAAAAGTGGAACATTGGCCACATGTAGCCTGCTCATTCTAAAACCCTGTCATTCAATTTCTTCTCTGGACTCAAATTCCTTCTTTTTCAGTTTGATATGAGTACTTCTGAACACAGCCAGGGATTAATTCAGTGTACTCAAAGGCAGCTCAGTCGTCTGGAACAGGGCACGACTTGGCAACTGGGTCAAGATGCAGAGTCATTTTGAGTCATTGGAGTTTCATTTTGAAAAAAAAAAAAGAAACAGAAGAACTCCTGGTTCATGTTCTGTCTCTTGAAAGTTTAGAGGATTAACAGGACAGGAGGGCAGACAGGTTTTTATCCCGACAAAGCTGTCTGTGTAAAATAAGAGAATGAAGCTTCCTATGCAAATCTTATTCAGTGTGTAATCTAGTAGCTTCTGTTTGTTGTACTCAAATATAGTAATTTCATAAAGTATTGCTCTTGCACAGTAATATTTTAATCACACACTAATCCCCATACTTCATTCTGATTATGAAATGTTGTCTACAGTGGCTAATGGGGCCCCCGCACCATCCTCCCAGTGTTCAGACTCAAACTCCTCTGCCTCCTCGTTGTCCTCAAGCACCCCCCTCAGCTCCCTCAGTGGTCTCTCCCAGGTTCTTTTCCCTCCTGTCTTTGGCTCGGAGATGGTAGACGTCGCCATCTCCACCGAGGACCGCTCCCGGCGTCCAAGCAGCGCTGAGCGAACTGCTGACACCGCCATGCAGACTGACCCCCACCCACCAAACTACCTGGACCACCCCTCACCTAATGGGTCGTACCCCGACAGGCTGGTTGCCACAGAAACCAGACGGACTGTAGGTACCACAGTTCTGCTGAAGGACACAGTCATACGGGGGAAAGGTGAAGGACCGAGGGAGATGGGAGGAGCTGCAGAAAGAGGGCACGGACGGACGAGGACGCTGTCATCTGGGGACCAGGAAGTAGCGAAACACTCACCTAAAACGGAAGCACTGATGGCCCTGAGCAGACCAAGGAAGCCAATCAGACGTTCCCAGAGCCACATCACTGTGTCAGGTGAGACGAGACCTGCAGGGTCACAGGGATTGTAAGGGGAGTGAAACTGTGACTATAAGGTTGCTTTATAAATGTAGGTGTAATATTAATTTACAGTACAAAACAGTTATTCCTATTATATAGCTTGTGCAACAGAGAATACTGACATGTTTATTTTTTCAATCTGCAAAATATCGAGGAGATATCTTGGTCACAATAAAACTAATTCAAGGCCCTTATCAGACATATTTGTACATATTTGAGTCTGCAGCTCTGTGAGGCTGTAATGGTCAATATAAAGAAAACCAATATGTGGCAATATTGCATTGTTTATTTGTCGGAGGATGATGTAAACATAGGTAAATTTCGGGTTGCTATAGAGATATATGTGATGTTGGGAGAAAAGGTGAAAAAAATGGTTACAGATGTAAGAAACTATCTTCCTGAGCATGAACATGTATGACACTGATTGTTTTTCTGCAGTTTTAACAGCATCAGCGTTTTTATCCCAGGAACTACTTTTCAAGGAACAAAAGGGTTCCTTCAGCCTGTTTTTGTTTTGCGTTTCCACGGCGGTCTAAAGACCAACAAAGATTAGGCAAATTAGTTTGCTGACATATTTAAAAGTGACGGTTGTTATTTTACACACATGATAAATGTTCAATGATGTCAGGACTTCGTTGTCGGTCCGTCTGTCATATGATTTCTTCTATAACTCCATGTTAAAGTGTCAAAGCACAATGAACAAAAAACAAACTGGTATGCTGCTGCAGATTTTAAAAAATGGTGGTTGGAATTAAATGCTGCGAGTCCTCGACCAAACAGAAATGTTCAGCGCTGCAAGCCCCACCCACCTTTCACCTTTCAAGGTTCCTGGTCCCTGGGGAAAGTTCCTGTGGTGGAAATGCAGCTTAATTTCTATGGCATTTGGTCATAAATCAAAGTAATTTTGACCTAAGAATGCCGTTAGATGAAAAGTCAGAAGATCACAAAAGTTCATAGTGACCATTATCAGTCAGCCTATGCTCTGTATTGTGGTTGTTGATTATAGTGGCACTATCATCCATCTCAGTTGAGAAACAAACCTTTCCAGAATCATGGCCTGGTGAGTATTGCAGCCATAGTCAGGTTTAGTCCTTGAGCTGATTTTTGTGACAGTACCTGCATTCACTGTGTAATGAGATCCACTCCCACACCCTCCAGAGATCTTTCTGCAGGGCATCAGTCAGTTTAATGACCCCTCATCCCTCTGTCACTCCAGGAAGTAAACAAGAACATCCAAGCTCCACATGGCTGATTTAAGCTCCAGACAGAATTTGTCCAAGAGCACAAAGTTAACGCAGACTCATGATTAATCACTGCTCTTTACTCTCACTTGTTGAGAAATGAATAAGAACAAGCATATGTAGAAATATCCATCCAAGCCTTGGCGGTGCTGTTGAGTTATTAGCCTTTCCTTTTTAATTTATCCAGCCCGTTCATACCTCCAGGACCTGGCGGGGGCTTGGGGCAAAGCCCAGGGCTGATTGGACATTTGTTATGTAAGCTGGAGCACTTCGCTGTAGTGTCCTCAATAGATGGGGGTGTGCTCAGGTTGGTGTAGCTGCAATTCATCAGTATTACTGTGTTACTTTACACAGTGGCAGATTTACTGCAGTGAACAGAGGAGCTGACTGGAAGAGAAATGAACAGTCTGTATTCATAGCGGAGAGTGTGTATCACCCACTGTTACAGTTAAGAAATGGAGCAGCCTAATGAATTATGTTTTCAACACCATACATAGAGCTGAAGAATGTCCTATTCTCGCAGATATATCTGTAGCAAATATGGCATGTAACTGCCTGCTCTTGATTAGTTAGGTTTAGTTAAGTTTGTTTAATTAAATTACTTGTTCTTAATCGTTTACATAACACACACATTGTTAAAATTTGTTACACTCATATTTCACAGCCAGCCACATTTAAGACTAAGTTATAGGCTTACGTTCAATGAACAAAAGATGATTTTGATGAAGATTTGTAAATAAAACAATCTATAGATATTTCTGTTCAATGCTTTTCAAATGCGCCTCAATAATGTAATGTTTTTGAGTTAAAATATCTTCATTTGGTGGGTTTTCCAAGCAAGTGTTGATATATGTGATCTGCCCCCATTTGGTATCTGGAGTGTATCCATATGTTAATTCAGAAGGATTGCATATTATGTTGTCCTTTTTTTTTCCACCTTTAGAGGACAGACAGAAGAAGAAGAGGCAACAGAAGGAGAAGCGCTCTACAGATGGTAAAACCAGCCTGCAGCGATCTAAAACTTTTGTCAACCTGTTATTTAAGAAAGACCGTAAAGAGAAGAGTCGCTCCAAGTCACCATCTCACCATGCTGACAAAGGTGAGGGCGTGGTCACAGGACACATTTTTTTTTCCAGGCACATATTCAGCATCCCACCAAGTAAAATGTGGCTTAAGTGGAGATACGGGCCATGATTTAGAGGTCTGGAACCATGCTAAGTAAAATACAGTATCCTGTTTCATGAGCTATTCGCTCATTTCTGGGAGTTCATAAGTTTACAATAGCTTTGGTGTTCAGTGGTGATATGGGATGTGGACCTCCAAATATCAGACATAGATGTGAGATGATTCAGCTGTGGAACCTCCTCACTAAAAAGACTCATTCATGATGCTCATTGCTAATTGATTGAAGGAAGGTCTGTTGATGTTTGGTACAGACTTAAATTAAGAACATAATGTACCATGAAAAACAACTAAGTGTGGAACCTTATGTGTAGCAGAGTTAAACCAAAGGACTACTACAACTAATTATTTGTTTGTTATGTGCTCTAGGTGAGATAATTAATTATATGTCAAGAGCTACATTTTCTGGAGGATAATTATTTATTTATATTTATTTATAATTAAAATATTGTTTTAGAAACATTTTTAGACTTATTAGATGCAGATTTCATTTTCTGAGCTTCTGTCAAACAAAGTATGTAAGGAGACATGTTCTTTTCTGGCAGATGTTTCACCACTATAACAGTATTTGTGGTGTTAAGTCCATGTGGGAGTTGCTTGTGAATGAAAAACTTACTGCACACTTCTCAAAAATCTGTGCACTGTCATGGTATATGCTCCAAAAATAACCATTACATCAAATAATGCTGCTTCGGTGAATAAAGACAAACTAATAAAAAAATCTGCCACTGAGATGTTCAGTGTTCACTGGTGTGTGTAAGGTCATTTCATTAGATTCGAGAATGTTATTGAAATTAGTCACCATTAGTATTAAGGTACTAAGGTAATTAATAATCCAAGAAAAATCTTGAACTGGTTTATTTCCATTAGAAAAAAGTAAAAGTATCTCATGCCATTTGCAGATATTGTTGTTTGCATTTTGTTTATTTCAGTTTTCACTTTAATTCTTCAGATAAGGAGCAGGGTCGTCCCTTCCAGCTCTTGACCTCCCCGAGGGAATCTCGTGCTGGGGTTAAAGACAGCAGCCCACTCCACCGACTAGAGACCCTGCAGCACGTGGAGGACATGGCAAAGAAACTGCTCATCCAGGATGAGGTGGCTGCTGTGATGAGACACTGTCGGCGGGTGAGTTCCAGATCTAAAATTACCATCTCCAACACCTCAGTGGCACTGTCCTTTGTGTGTTTTTCCTCCCACTGAATGAAAATCAGCCAGACTACTTACAGACTTAAGTGTGCAGTATTGTTCCCTGTGTCGCTGTGTCTCCTTCAGTGAGAGATGTGTCTGGCAGCGACTGTGACAAAAGACGGATTTGGCCTGTCATTTATGATTAGGATCAAATATCAGCCATCATTTGATCCCCTTGTCTCTCTCGGCCCATCTCACACTCACCGGTCAATTTCAGGGGATCAGCTCCTTGGCCGACCCTTTGCCACCACTCCAGAGGATATCGAGTCTACTTAGAGCACAGTATGACTCACCTATTAATGCAGTAATTAAACACCAAAGACTGAAAACAGCCGAGTGTTGTCGTGTTCTTAGAAAAGTGAATATTTAATGTACATATCAGAAGACAAACTAACTCCTAATCGTTAAAATGTACTGTCATATCTAAATAAGCATATTTTGGCTTTGGTCCATAGGTTGGGGGGCTCACAGGAGACAGATTTTTTAAATAATTGTAAAAATTGACGCAGCAGAGGCACAGATAACTTGACATTTAGTCTGAAATATGGGTCAAGCTTGAGAAACAGTGGATCCTACATTTCCCACTTTTGTCAAACTTCACACATTCAGCTTGTGATGCAGACTTTCTATCTCAAGCCATGATATCCAAGATACTTCATGTGTAAAAAATTGGCGGAGTGCCCCTTTAGAAGTCCTTCTTATTCTTCTTCTCTAATTTGTGTAATCCTTTCCCTCAGTTTTTGTCCGACAATGTGATTGAGGACCTAGTACGCCCCCTTTTAGCAATCTTGGACAGGCCAGAAAAGCTGCTTCTTCTCAGAGAAATAAGGTGAGATACACAAACTATATGTATATTATATATTATATGTATATCACTCCTTTTATATATACATACCATATAAGTATGTGTTAATATATATGTGAGTTAACCTAACTAATCATATCCTCTGCAGAATGCTGGTGCCTACTACTGAGTTGGGTCGGTTTGACAGCATGGTCATGCCCTTTGAGCTGGAGGCGTACGATATTCTCAAGAGTCGCTCTGGTAAGCAGAATCACTTTTCAGATATTTGTATTCATACAGCTTGACATTAATGCCCAATTTCCTGTTTGCATGAAAGAAACAAAAGATTAAGAACTATAGAAGTTAGAAAAAGCAGGTAAGAATACACAAAGCCAAGAAATGTATGTAAAATCTGTGATATATCTTTAGTTGTTTATTTCTTCTTAGTGCGTTCTCCAGCTCTGCGATCCCCTCGCAGTGGAACCCCTCGACGTCACCTCATCACCCCAGTCCCAGGTACACAGGCTGTATCTTCCTCTCACCCTTTCTCTTTCCATATTTCTTTCTTTTGCTGGCCTTTCTCTAATCCCAGAGGAATATGAGATACGAAAGGGGTTTAAACCTCTCACCTTTTGTCTCCTTGAACCTTCTGCTCGTACTTTTCCTCCCTCATCTCACTTATTTCCTGCCTGATCTCATATCACAGACCATATCCCGTCCCTGGCATTCCACACACACACATACCCCCCCTCCAACACACATATAAAACACCCACACACACACATCGCCATGCACAAAATATCTCAGGTTTCCTGCGCCTGCGATGAAGCTGAGGCTTGTGTTACATCTCTGTGGCCAACAGAAAGGACTGAGACGTGACTGGTTGGCCAGTGTGACACTTCAACAATACAGAGATGCTTTTAGCCTTTTCCCCATTCAAGAGTCATTGAGACACAATCAATACGGTCTCACTTTAGACCCACTGCAGCCATCTCACTTACTAAAGTCACTGGTTAGGGGTCACAGGGTCAGCATTATGAGAGCAGAATGAAGCTGACTGGGCATCACTGTCAGTGTTTTGGAGGGCTGAGATAGCCAACATTGTATCGCAAGAGATGCAGAATTGGACATTTTTTTTATCCCGTTGGATATCTGACTCCCTAACCTCTCAACACACTGTTGAATTAAACCTTATCAAAAACTATAGTTGGTCCTGTTGGGATGATAAGTTGTATATTGTAAGAGGTACATTACTACTGCACTCAGTTTGGTGCTCTGCCTCACAAAAAGAAGATAAACGTAGATAAAAATAGATATTTTTGTTTTGCAAACAAATAATAAATATAAGCTGACAGTGTCATCTCAAAGAGCCTTTAGTGGTCAGGAGAATGCTTATTTTATCCATTTGTCCCAACAGTTTATCACCATGTGACAGTAAAATTGTATGTTTTTGATCTTTTATATTGCTGTTGTCCTTGAGAATGTAGTCTTTTTATTTTCTATTCTTCTCTGTCCCAACATTCACTTCAAAATATCAAATATGTCTGTCGTGAGTCTGACAGTGTTATAGGAGCGCAATGCTAAATCTGTATTTATATGCAGAAGTTCTACAGAAGTTCCACAACTGAAAGAAACCTCTACTTTTTCATGGTTAAAGCTGAACTTTTTTTGTTTGTCCAGACTACAAGGGTGGGTTCCACCTCCAGCCGGTCCAGGACACACTGCGGGACCGTCAGTTGATTGAGGAGTTGGAGAGATTACGTTTGTCCAGCCAACAGTCAGGTCATGTACCTCCGTCACGTGCCTTCACCCCTCTGCTGGATGTACCTATAGACAACTACATCTCCTCTACTGTGCGCTCCCGCTCCCTGAGCCCTTTACCCACCCACAGCTCCTTCCTCATAGAATCCCCACACAGCACCCAACGTGGGCGCCAACCCCATCGCTCCCCAAACAGAAGAGATAATGGGGGGTTGCAGCATGATCAATTCTCCTTGTTGTCAGTGTCTGACCGAGGAGATGGGGCTCCTGAACGAGGGAGGTCGCCTGTGAGGAACGGCCGTGGGAGAGCAAGGAGGGAGACGAGTCCTGACAGCATAGATGGCAGACTGAGCAGGCAGGAGGGCTACACAGAGGTCAGCGTACGTGTTCCTTCGCAGCGGCGAGGGAGAACCCCTTTGGCTGATGTATTTGAGCCCATGAGAGAGAAGAGTCCATCCACAGGCAGAGGGAGCAGTCAGCAGGTAAACGGACATTCACAAAATGGTCATGGTGTGAAAAGAAGAGCAATTCTGCCACCTGAGCAGTATGAAATCCACACTGTCACCATCTCCAAGGCCAAGCAGTCGCTGGGTGAGTACAACACAGAAACACATGCATTTTGTACTTTGATTTAAGTTTAAACTGAATGTATGTTCATGAATTTAAACTGTTAAATTGTTATTATTCCTAACCTGTGAACCATGTTTGTTCAATATGCTGCGTGTAGAATAAAAACTGCCAAATTATTATTGTTAAGCTGTCCATTTTAATGTGTTCCCATATCTATTACGTCACCAGTAGAGGTCAGGGCATCACTTACTCTACTAAACTGAATTGAGTTAAATGCTGACTAGTTAGAATACACTTTATTATTTAATGATGTTCCTGTGTGTTTACAGGTATTAGTATCTCTGGAGGTATGGAGTCTAGAGTCCAGCCCATGATAAAGATTGAGAAAATCTTCCCAGGAGGAGCTGCATCTACAAATGAGGCTCTGAAGGTGAGCAGTTATGGCACTTTTGTTCTTTCATAACATCGTGATTTTAAAGCAGATGATGTCCATCCTTAGTTGAAGTGTATTGTAAGTACCTGTCAGACCATCTGTCCTGTGGTTATGAGTGGTTGTTGCTATAAGAGAGGTTGAAGGTGTGCAATGAGGAGTGGAGAGGAGATGAGCCATCTCAAGTAGCCCATCGCCTCCATTATTGATGAGGTACACAGGTGCTGGTCTGCTAATGTATTGCTAATATATTGACTGCACAGTAACTTAACAGTTGTCTGTGATCTTGGCCTGGTTCACTTAAACACACATGATACACACACACATTCACTACAGTTAACCACATCGACTAGAGTCAGAAATGTAGCGGTTGAACAAAACCTGCATTAAGATACTTGAAAAGAAGTGTGTGTTAAGTGTTGTCTTAAACAATGTATACCTGCAATAATAGGCCTGTTTGTGTGGGTTCATTTGCATGTGTTTTCTAACAGCTAGCTATCAATTGACAGCTGCTACCAGGTCTAATTGGCCTGATTGGAGTGTCAAACATAGAGGGGATCCAGTATCTGCTCAGACTTTCAAATTCTAAGAACTTCCCGCTTACACACACATGCCTGCACTCACAGTCACACAAGCACCACACACACAAACACATGCTGTGCACCCAGTCACAAGAACAAGAAGAACATAAAAGGAAAAGAAAATCTTAACATCAGTATACTGTTCATAATAACCAGGTTTAGTAAGTAAATGAAAAACGTATGTTCGCAGACTCAGTTTAGCGAGTTAGCACTGTAACATTTGCTAATTAGCAATGAATAGCCTAAAATAATCTGGCCCATAAGATATCATAAACTACCCCCTCATATACAATTAAAATAAAAACACAATTCTGTTCTTAAAAATGTATTTCATTTAGTGCAAAATAATGGGAAAGGTCAAAAGTGCATAAGCATGCATAAGCCGAGCATTTTTTGTTAAATATAATAGTGGTAATGGACATACTTCCAGAATATTATATACTGACATTGTCATCCCATATGCCACAAGCTATATATAAGATATAGGGTAGTAGCCTCAGACACAGATATATGGCTACTGGCTTGCACCTAGTGCTATCTATTGTCCCTGCCCCTCACTTCCCAATGAGGCATGTCAGCTCGTCCGTATCAGCTCCCTGACTCAGGGCTATCTCGTCCTACTCTGCAGAGGGAAGTGAGGCCGGCTCAGCTCAGTGTTAACATGCATCCTGTTTCCTTCGACCCGCACTTATGATAACATATAATCAGTGAAGAATGTTGTTGTGTGTGAGTCTATGTGTTGCCATTTGTGCATATACTTTCCTGTTCATCAGACTCTGCCACCTGCTTTTATCAGCGGATATCTGGACAAGAGTGTGTCATGAGCCTGGATTTAACCAGCTGTGTAAGAGTTCGTGGAAAACATGTAACAGCTGAATGGACACACCTATTTAATGTGTGGGCTTTGGTGACTGACTTTTAATCTATCAGCAGGTTTGAATTTGTGGCTTTAAATGAAATACTATTGGATTGATTGAAATTAAATTTGATACAGACATTAACATCTTCCTTGATGGATTGTAATGACTTTGGTGATGCTTTAACTTTTCCTTTGGTGCCATCATCAGGTCAAAATTATAATATGTGAAATACAACTGGTTTATGAAAACTAATGGCATAAGCCTGTATTTTATTTTTGTGTTTATTAACAAATGTTAGCATGCTAACAAGCTTAACTAAGTTCATGAACATGTTAGCATGCTGAAATTAGCATTTAGCTCAGAGCACTGCTGTCTGTAGACTCTCTGGTTAAATGTACATTTTTAATTCTGTGAACACCACAAATAATACAAATTTAATTCCCCTCCGTAATTGTTTTGGCAAATATTCAGGGACAGATCTCAAAACCAAACTAGCTTAAATTTTATCACTAGAAGTAAATGAGTTAATATGTTTTTTTGATAGATTTAATAATAATTTTAGCATCTATAATGAGATGCACCTCTATTGTTTGTGTGTATGTAGAGATTTCACTTAGAATACGTAATACACAGAGTCAGTTCTTCCTTTCTCTACCTTATCTAAATAATCTAGTGTGATTCATTTGTAATGGCCTGGTAAACCACATTATGAACGATTCGCTGATCCTGAAGCTGTAGTAATTTTTACAGTCCATGTTATTTTTGGATCGTGATGTCCATTGGCTAGAAAAAGAGGAAACCTTATAAATGTGCTCCATAAATGGCCGTAAAGAGGATGGGGCAGATTAGGTTGTGATCTATTTAATTCAAATAAATTACTTTTCAAAAATGAAAAAGCACCTTTAATCTCCTCTTTGCTTAAATGGATCTAAATCTTTTGATACTGTTCTCACGGAAGGCTATAAGGTTATTGGTGAACATCAGACTGCGTGAGCTGTAAGAACAAACACAGGGCAGCAGATCTAATCTTCTACATCAGTGGTTCTCAACTTTTTTGGTGTCAAATACTTTCAAATTGATACACATCAGGCTGTGGACCCGTATTTAATAATATTTAGTCTCAAGGATCCACATCTGATTTAGTCACTCCATAATTGTCTATACTGTACATTGGTAGATTAACAATGAAGAGTTTGAAACCTATAGCAGAAAAGTTATTCTTATACATTCTCTCATCGGGTAAACTGCTAGTCAGTGAAATAATAGTGAGATAAAAATATTCCCCATTTTTCTGTAGACCCCCTAGAACCCCCTAATGGACACCTGGACATCACTTGGTTGAGAACCGCTGTCCTATACAAACAAAATATGTTTGGCCCATGACAGAATAAGGAGAAAATATATTTGTGTCTAATGAGTGGAAAGGAAAAGGGAAAGAGACGTGATTGGTGGAGATACAACAATGGCCATCGGCCTTGCGTGTCTGTGTTGCTAACCTTCACAGCGATTGAGCTCATGAGGCAGGTGCATCCTTGGCAAGCGCTGATGACATCAGAGGAAGTTCCTCTCCTCGGGGGTCCAAAGTTTTCACTCTCTGCTCGCATCCTGCAGGAAACACTGAGCAAACTGTCCCAGCTGTGTGTGCGGTTGTCTCAGTGTATGTTCTTTTTTGAACAACTTTATATGTGCTCTAGTGACGGCCTTCACTGTGAATATATTAAAGTAACGGGAGAGCCCCAATTCTCTCTGGCATAAATCAAGTTCCCGCTAAGGGAATCGCAATCACTGCAGATTTACAGAAACCGTCTATAATGTTGTTGATCGCTACAGAAAAAGAGATACAGAGAGGAAGACAAAAGATACAAATATATATGTAATCATGAAATATGAATAATAATTAATCTTAGTCTATGTTTGCAGAGAGTTTTGCATGTTAAACTTTGTACCTTAAACAGTTTACCTGTGTTTGAATTCGCAGGCAGGGTATGAGCTGTTGTCCGTGGATGGCGAGAGTCTGCAAGGTGTGACTCATCAGCACGCGGTAGACGTAATTCGCCGTGCGTTCAGCAACAAGGCCAAAGACCCGATGGTTTTTGTGGTCAAGGTCCCCAAAGTTCATACCAACCCCACCAGCCCCAGGAGGACTGCTGACTAACCTCACAGTGTGGCTCACAGCCAGACTGCAGCTCGGGCATAACGGACACAAAGGCCTGAAACTCCTGTGGGAGTGAATGAACAACAGGATTCACTCCACGAGAGGAAATATGGGAGAGATAGATCTCCAGTCATGGTGGAGAGGATTGGATGCACAGATTTTTCCTATGAAAGACATGGGAGTAGTGGGAGAAAGAGAAAGGTGAACATGTTGAAACAGGTTTTTAAGACAGACACAGCCGCTTGTTTATCAGGATAAAGATTGTAATAAATCACTTTTGCTACGATTAAATGTAAGATACTAAATGTTGCAACTGTACAACTTTTATAACATTCTTAGTGTTTTTAGCAGACATTTTACTAAACGCATACATTGCACATTAACTGGAGAAGAAGTAAGTAATAATGTAATTTATAATATGTGTTTTATGATAAGATTATGTGGTCCATGAACTCCTCCTTGGTTGAAATTGTGCCACTGTTCGACACATGGCAACCTTTCCGTGACCTCTAAGCACTGTCTAATTGTGGAGCCAGTGGTCTGCACTTTTCAGTTGGAACATCTCAGTCCAGCAGCTCTGCAGACCTGCCAGAGGGAGATTACTCCAGACTGTGTTATGAGATTTATAGATTTATACCCAGATTAAACCCCTGTATTATGTCAAAACTGATAGTTTGGGTTTAGTGGTTGTCTGGGGGGATTATTACAAATTGCTGCTCAGTATTTTTGTGCTGTATTTTTCTGGCAGAAGTGCTTGTGCTCTGGACCAATCCGCCACTTTAGAGGCTTAATTACACCACGCTGTGGACTGAGCTTATGCAGACATGTGGAGGAGTTGGAAAAACATGTCAATGAGAAATGCAGGACATGAAGGCCAGTGGCACAGTTTAAATCAAAGTAGGGTGGAGGAGATATGGCAGCAAGGTAACTGGAATATAGTGTGCATAGTGCCTTACTTTTGCAGTGGGGAAAACACTGATAAATGTTACCCAAACATTGGTTTTAATGTGCTAGAAAAGCTCAAGGTGAAATGTTTCAATTCAGACATGTAATTAAATTTATAGATGAAACTGATATGCCTTTGAGTTATTTCAAAGTACTTTAATGCAATAAATGCCCAGCCAGTATACTTTGTTCACTCTTGATGTGTTTCAGCTAAAAAAAAGCAGTAAAATAAACATTTTAAGGTGTGACAACTTGTTCTTTAATTAAAAACACAGTCATTTGTACAAGAAATGTACACATAAAAATATACATGGACAACTACATACTTTATGAATTACTGAAGACACAACATAAGTAAACATAAAAAAAATGCACACAAAAGGATGAGAAAAATGCCACAAAAAAAAGAAATGTGTTACGTTGCTTTGGTCTAGTCACAGTGGCTACATTTGAAATAGATATTTCGTCTAAATAAAAGACAATGTCACTCTGTTATACTATTAGTGTTTTACATATTTACACAGAAAACGGTTATGCAACGATGAAACTGAGATATGAGGGAAAAAACGGATGTCCGGGATGCACGCGGTACTCATCACTGAGGGAGTAAGTTTGTGGTTAATTTGTACCTGTGCTGCATTTGTGGTGAGTAAATAACAGTCTAGTCAACCAATTGAATATCATTGGACAAAGCCAACTTCTTCCATTCAGAATTGCTTCCCATGGCTACACGTTAACAATTTATGCACAGTGCAGACTTTTAATATTCTCAAACCACAGTGGACGTGGTAATGTCATGCAAAACATAGACTGATCAAATATACTGATCGCATTTTCCGAAAGGGGTTCTACGGATTTCCAAATACAGGAAACATAACACTTTCTTGGTTTGCATCAGCTCCGACCTCAACTTAATGAAGAAGTCACTCGAAAATCACCTGTCTCATGCATTTATAAATGAATGACGTGCACAAAACCCCACACTGAAGATGAACCGGTGTGATATTATGATACTGATGCTCAAATGAAAGATCAATCAAAATGGAGAGACAACGGGTCAAAACTGAGCCCAGAATAAAAGCTCCAAACAGTTTTATCAGCTGCAAAGTTTGGTCATTAGAGTGTATGTTTGTGTCACACAGATTATATAATGTAAACATATTTTCATGCATTACAGTATTAGGTGCACTCTGTCTATGCTGCCGCCTCCATTTATAACTGATCCATCATTTGAAATATTGGTATGTGGTAGATATATATATATATATATATATATATATATATATAGAAGTCTTTATACTTTGTATATTAAACCCACACTTATACCAGTACTACAACAAAATATCTTCAGGTGCTATATATAAAAAAATATACAACATCTCCTCCATTATATAGATTTCCATTTAACTATTATTCCTTGATATAGACTCTTTGTAAAATAAAACTTCTCAGCCTACTACTTTTATTTTCGTAGAGACCCGCCATGCTCAGTGTTATACACAGCCCTGCATATACTGTGAGAAAACAGAGCAACCCACAGCTTCAAATGTTAACATGCTCCTCTCCGGTTTATATTTAGGGCTTCAACAGCCGACCTGCCTTGAGGACATTCAGAGCTGGAGCCACTGCATCTGCAAATTCTCATCTCACCGCTATCTGAACAGGCTTCTTCTGAAGTCTCATATAACAAAGACATGCAGACATGCCAGTCTTGTTACCTGTATAGCAGTCAGTGAAGATTATAGTCTAGGGGAGACTAGGAAGACTTGAAAAAAAGTGTTATTTGGCTTTGGGCTGCCAAAAGCTAAATAAAGAGCACTAATGGGAATGGAGGGGAATAAACGGAAACTCTGAACAGGCATGCCTACAGTTCAAACACCGGCTTAAATCTCTCAGCGACGCCACGACCACACCGAAAGAATATACTCCATTTTTATTTTCCTCCTACCGGCTGCTGAGGTGCTTTTCACTGTTATAAAAATAGTTGAGTAAGAAGCAGAGATACAGATGGAAAGAGAGAGCACACAGAGAAAGACAGAAAAGACAGAGAAAGAGGAGAATCAGCAGCATCCTGGTGATATCTCACATGCTACGGTCTGCTTCCTAGTGCTACATTATTGTAAAATGTAAATGTTTATGTCTGAGCTTGCTTCATTGTCTAAATGAGGTGAAACACTGATCAAGCGCAACAGCATGACTGTTGGTGGTCTAGAAAACATGAGCAGCGTTCAAATAAAGCATTTCCTTCCATCGTTTGGTTTCTGTGTCCTCTGCCGTTTGCCAGAAATGACAGAATAGGATGTCCACATGTAAGCAAACCAAGAAACAAATGTCCAAAGTGGTTTTGTTTAACTTCGATGATTTGCTTCGCAAGAAAGACAGCCGGAACAAAAGAGAGCAGGAAAGTTGTGCAAAATTATACCATGTTTCCCTTGATGAGCAGATTTCAGGTGATGACCATTTATACTGCATTTCTCTGGAGTGATAACAGTCACAATACATTCTTTTTTAACTGCACACTGCTGAGGAAATACGTCAATCCTTTTAGAAATTGTAAAATTAAATTAACTGCTGATCCTCCAAACACCATAAAGTACAAACGGCAGATGTCGTAATACTTGGTGTTCATTTCCCTTTAGCAGTTGCTTGGAGGACTTTTGGGGGCGGTTGTCGTTTGTGTCGCCAATGAGCACCAGTTGGGGTTGACAAGGTCGTCATTAACAGCCAGTAGTGATGGTGTTTGATGGGAAGTTTGTCATGATGCAACATTACATGCATGCTGGTGGCCGGGTGTTTAACATTGTGTGCTACCAAGAAACGTGTGACTGCGCTTTGACCAGATTGCTGTGCACGTAGTAACATTTTTTTGCTTCAAGTTCCCCGACGATTTTCAATACCCTGATTTCAACGTGGTTTGAGAAAGCAACACTTTTTTTTTTTTTTTACTGCTTTCGTTCCCACAGAAGGGAAGAAGTCTTTGTGCTGGCTTTGTAGTGGAATAAAACCCATTAAAAGCGCCAGGAGGGACACCTTATAAGGATTTACTGGACTTCATGTCTGTCCGCAGAAAGTAAGAATGCACCGTTGGGAGATCTCTCTTTTGACAGTGACAAGTGGTGAGTGCTCGCTCAGTGGTCTTGGTAAAGCCATGTTGTAGATAGTGCAGTATTTGTCCTGGATTTCAATGTTTGGTTTACATCCTCTTTTGTGAGTATCCATGTTTCTGTGCACATATTACTGTGACTGTAAGTGTGTGTGTGTGTGTGTGTGTGTGTTTTTAGATCTCAGTGGCGGTGATTTCCTCAAAGTGGATGTCGTTGCTGCCACTATGGACCTCATAGTCTTCCATGTCCCTGTTTTCCAGCTCCAGACTCAGCTCCCTCATCACTCGCTCAAGATCCCGGTTTCGACGGTACATCTGTATGTAGTTCTGCTGCAGCTGTTTCTGGTAGCGGATTACCTGAGTGGAGGGAGGAAGGATGACAGTGAGGTTTTAAATTTGACACTGAAGGAAAATGACAAAGATTGAAAGATGATCACCATGAAATAAAACAAAACTAAATCTTCTCCTTCCTCCTTTTTTACCTTTTCTTTCTCCTCCTGCCACACCCTCCTCTCATCCTCAAATCGCGAAAGGTGCTCCTCACTAGTCCTCCTCTCGTACATGAGTTCAGCCTTTAGCCTGTCCACCTGAGAAAGAGACAAACAGCACTGTTTCAGTGGTGGGAGACGTGTTTAGCGTATTTAAAAGTAATAGTAAAAGTAAAAGTCCTGCATTAAAAATCTTCTTTTTACATAAACAATGTACAATGTACTTTCTAGGTTACATTTTAAAGGTGCTTATTATGCAGAATTGTCTATGTGGTTGTTATATTATGATATTATTCAATTATTAATACAGATGCATTAACACATAAGCAACATTTTAATGTAATTGATAGTCAAGGTGGAGCCACTTTTAACTACTTAACATATTGTTTTATGGTTTAATCTATAAGAATGCATCATATTGTATAAGCTCATCATATTGTTGTTTGTAAAATGTTTAATCTGCATAGTAATAACTAAAAGTGTGAAAGTAGCATGACATGGAAATACTCAAGTGAAGTATCTCAAAACTGTACTTCAGTACAGTACTTGAGTAAGTGTACTTTCCACCACTGTAGTGTTTAATTTTTATTGCTTATGGCTGGCATAGGTGCAGAAATTTTTTTTACCTGTTGTCTGAGTCCCAACACTGTTTCTGCATTTTGCCTCTGTGCCTTGGCTTCATCACTCTCTCCTCCCCAGACCAGATGAGTCTCCTCTCCGTCGCGGTACACACAGGGACTGGGACCGCCTCTGCCTGTTCTACCCTGTTGGAGGGGGAGGCTCATGCATTGCCCCTTCATGGTCGCATTTCCAGGTAGAGAGTGTCCACTGTGATTGGACAGAGAGTCACGGAGGCGGGCTGACTCCTCTTCCAAACGGCCCAGTTTCTCTCGGAGCAGCTCAGCTTCACTCTTGCGCCTCTGGAGTTCATTCTCGCAGACTTCAAGCTCCAGAGATCGCGTCCGCAGGGCCGCCTGGGCCTCCTGGGATCGCATCTGGCTGGCTTGCAGTTCAGAACGGGCTTCTCTTAGCTGGGCCTTCAGCACCACAATGTCTCCGGCCTTCTGGCTTAGCTCCGACTGGATCTCCTTCAGCTGCTGCTTTAGGAGGGAGATCTCTCCTGACTTCTGACACACCTGAAGGGACGAGAGAAAGCGAGTTAGAGGGAGAGGCGGAAACACAAAAAATACAGAACAACCTGTTTCTTATGGCAGATTATAAACTGACATTTTGGATCTGCTTGCTCCTTAAAGGTAAACTTCAAATTCTTTCAAGCTTATAAGCTTATGGGGTTAATTTAAGCTCACTAAGTGTCACCTCTACTTAACACCTTTCTTTGGGGGCATTTTACGCTTTTATTAGTGAGTCAAGAGATAGTGAGAGAGGTGGGGAGATGACACGCCGCAAAATTACCCTGCCAGACTTAAACAGGGACATTACAGTTCACCTAACAGCTTTTTAGCGTCTGACTCCGACTCACCTCCCACTTTGTCTCTTCCAGACGTGGTCCCAGTTGGGTCTGCTCCCTCTGGATAGTAGCACACCTCCTTTCCAGCG